GTCTCCCTCTTCTCTTCTGTTCTCTCTGTCTCTGTGTCTTTCTATCTGTTTTCTCTTTCCTTCCCCCTTTCCTTTCTAATAAAACCCACTTAAGCTCTGTCTGTTTAAACCTATAATGACTCCCTCTATTAAGGGTATCGATTTTCTTGCTTTCCTCTATTCTTCCCCCAACTCAATCTAGGGAAATGTCCAGAGATCCACAAAGATGACCTCAACTAAGAATCTAAGCAATAGTAGAGAGGCTACCTTAAATGCACTTCCGCTATAATGAGATTGATGACCATCTTAAATGCCATCATAGAGCCTATACCCAGTAGCTGATGGAAGCAGAAGCAGAGATTCAGAGCTAAACACTGAGCTGAACTCCTGGAATCCAGTTGTAGAGAGGGAGGAGTGATGAGCAAAGGGGTTAGGACCATGCTGGGGAAACCCACAGAAATAGCTGACCTGAGCAAGGGGGAGCTCATGGACCCCAGTATGACAGCTGGGGAACCAATATAGGACTGAACCAGGACCCCTGAATGTGGGTGTCAGTTAGGAGCACTGGGCTCTATGGAGCCTCTGGCAGTGGAACCAGTATTTATCTCTAGTGCACTAATGGACTTTGGGAGCCCATTCCCCATGGAGGGATACTCTCTTAGCCTAGATACACAGGGGCAGGGGTGGGGATGGGGTAGGGCTAGGCCCTGCCCCAAATGATGTGACAGACTTTGATGATCCCCCATGAAAGGTCTCACCCTCCCAGGGGAGTGGATGGGGATGGGATGGGGGCATTGGTGGAAGGCATGGAAGGAGGGGAGGGAGAGGGAACTGGGATTGATATATAAAATAAGATTGCTTCTAACAAAAAAAGTCTGTCTGCCTGGCATGTTTGTCCTTCCTTCTGGGTCACCCTTGCCCAACATGGAATCTGCCAAGGTTCCTCTCGAGCTTTATCATAACACAATCAGCATTCCCACAGACAGAACCTCTGGCTTTACTTACTACAGAATTCCTCCCTTGTTTCTGGTCTGAAGACTTTGTCCAGGGCTCTGACCTCCTGCAGCTCTTTCTCCAGCACCAACATGTGGATGATCCTCTGGCCCAGAAACCCTCCTGCCCCAGTCACCAGGCAGCTCCACCCAGGCATGGTCCACACAGGAAGCAGATCACAGTGGGAATAGGTATGATGTAGGTGACCCGTGGAAGGGCTGGAAAAAGAGGCCCAGATAAAAACAGTTTTCTAGTAACCCCGCAGATTCACTCTACCCGATTTTGCCAACTCTCTATGTCCTCACCAACACCAAGGAACAAAAATAAATGTAGTGTTCCAACCTGCTAGACCATTAGAAAGTGAATGAAAGGATCAGGATGACACTGGCCTCATTCCTCTGGACCCGAGTTTTATGCTCTGGTCTCTTGATTCATCATACCTGACTCATGACTTCTTTTCTGTGATCCTTCCACCCCAGTTACTGATAAATGTCATGTCCTTTACTCTTAACACAGGAAGAACAGCCCGTTTCAAGGCTATATTGTGATAAAGACTTTATTTTGTTTGCTTCTTACAGGATTATTGCCAACATATGAAGGACCAGTAGACATAAAATACTAAAGAATTAAAGAAACTGAGGGGCATGGTGGTGCATGTCTTTAATTCCAGCACTCTGCAAGTGGTGGCCATAGTCAGGCTAGTCAGTCTTCATAGTGAGTTCCTGGATAGCCAGAGTTACACAATGAGACCCTGTCTGGAAAAACAAAACAAAATTAACTAGAATTACTAGAAGCAATCGATTTCTAGGTTGCATCTAAGGATAATTATATGAAAGTTTTTTTTTAACCAGAATTTGAATTTATTTCATGAATGTCTATAATGTAACCCAGTAAGCAACCCATACTGAGATTTCGTGGTTTAATGTGCTTTATTTAGAAATGAAGTCATATAAATAGCTCTATTTTGTCTACTTCCTTGTTTTATTTTTTATTATTTGCTTTCACTTATTAATTTGGATATAATATCTTCCTTTCCTGGCATCTTGTGGTGCAAGCTTAGCTGATCATTTTTATGCTTTCTTCAACTGGAGTCCCCACTCAATGATGATGTCCTTTCTTTTACTCAGGTATTGTTTACACGTGTGCTTATTCTATGGAAGTGGGGAGTTTTCTAAGCTTTATTGCTATTGATTTTGAATTTAGTGGTCATGTGACCATAGCATGATCTCTGTATGATGTTGACTCTGATGCTTATTGAGACTCTTTTTTAAAGGATGTTTTCTGGAATGGTTGGGAATAACTTTAATTTGAAGAGTTTGACATCCTACTTTGCACCACCTGCTTCCCATTTTGTAGCTATTTTCCTCTTCCACCTGGGTCCTGAATCCCAGCACTTCAAACACACTTGCTCAGGGAAGCACCACCCTGTATAGAATGCAGCTGTTAGTTAAAGGTCTTTGGTCTTGATAACATCTTCAGGCTTTCTCCGCAACCATCTAGGTGAATTGGGCACCTTTGCTGGCTATAGCTGATGTCAGAACCCTCCGTTGCTTTGAAGACTGGAATATTATTCTCTTAGCTGTGTCAGAAGCTGGTAGATTGAAGCTACTATTTCTCTGAGAATTGCTTTTATCAAAGGAGCTGGGAGTTGGGCTCCCAAATAGACTTGATATATACAAAGCCTAAGAAAGTGAGAAACAAAGCAAAGGAGTTATCATGAAACTTTTGTTTTCCAACTGTTTTATTAAGGTATGATTTTTGTGCATTCATCAGTTTTCATTGTACAGTTCAATGATTTCCAATTTAGACATGTGTCACCACTATTGTAATCATGCTTTAGGATGTTTTTATAATCCCCACAAAGATCTCTCATGTCACATGGATATCAGTCCGGATTCTCATCCTCCAACTCTAGATAACCTCTAACCTATTTCAAAAGTACTTCTAAAATGTCATCCCTTATCAGAGAAGCTTCTTTTTGCCGTAGATGCTGGTTAGTACAGAGACCTGCAATCTATCTAGAATAAGTGACTGTGGAGTGCTCAGGTTTAAATGGGACATTTTTGTCACAGTCTGTCTTAGTCACTCTTCTAATTCTGTGACAAAGCAACACAACAAAAGCAATTTATTAAAGGAAGTTTCTAACTGGGCTTACCATTTCAGAGGATTAAAGTCCATAATGGTAAAGGCATGAGGGCAGGAACAGTTGAGAGCTTACATCTTGATCTATAAATAGTAGGCAAAGAAAGCTAACTGTGAATGATGTGGGTTTATGAAGCCTCACAGCCTATCCCCAGTGACACATCCCTCAACAAGACCACACCTCCTAATCCTTCCTAAATAGTTCCACCAACTGGGGACTAGGTATTCATAAATAAGATCCTACGGGCGTCATTCTCATTCAAATCTCCACATTCTACTCCCTGGCTCCCAAAGGCTTTTGGCCATTCTATAATGCAAAATACATTCAGTCCAAGTTGAAAACTTTCCATAGTCTTTCAGTTTCAACACTGTTTAAAAGTTTAAAGTTCAAAAGCCTCTTCTGAGACTCAAGACAATCTCTTAATAGTAACTCTTTGTAAAATGAGAAAGCAAATTACATTTTCCAACATATGATAGCATAGAAGATACAAAACCAGCAGGACAAACTCCAAATCTTGTAGCTTTAAGCCTGATGTCAGAGGATATAGATGGTTCTACCCCTTCTTTACCTTGGCAAATGTATCATGGCTTTGGCATAATCAACATTTTGGGATTTCCAACACAATCCATGCTTAACCATGGAGGAAGATTCCGTAATCCCTTTACTTATGTATTCTTTATGATTCTAAACACAGAGTCATATAGATGATACTGCCATATTTGTCTGCCTACTTGGGGTGAATCATGACACTTTGAGAATCACATTTGTAGCATCTTTGAGTTTTGGTTGCTTTTTGCTTTTTAGGAACAGAAGATTTCTTAGGCCTTTTCTTTCTACATGCTGGAAGCTTAATTAGGTGAGGGCACATCAGGCCTCTTCCTTGAGCTCCTTATCTCTCTCAGCACAAGCCTTGGCTCTAACATTAAATTTCCCACTATTGTTTTTTCTTTTTCTTTTTTGCTTCAAATTGTACATTTTATATTTCCTTTTTGCCTACTTGCTCTTCTTTTTCACTGTAGGCCTATATAAATTGATATTTCACAACCATACAACAGAATTTAGGCTGTCTAGAGAACAACTTTGCCAAGGAAATTAGTCCATTACTCCTCAATTTAGTCTCAGGTAAATTCTTAGGAAAAAGGCTGAAAGCAGTCACATTCTTTGCTGAAATACAACAAGAATGGTTGCTAGCCCAGTTTCCAATATTGTTACCCTCTGAAACTTCTTGAGTTGGTCCTGCACAGTGTATGTTACTCTGAAGTACTGCCTTCTGAGCTCCTATTACATTCCAGGCTTGGAACTCTGTCTTCTTTATTGTATTTTTACATCAAGAAAGCATGAACAGAGAAGCTTTACTAACTAAAGAAACACTTCGGCTGGTACTGCTATTTTATGTATTAGCTGTTCACAAGGGAAGTATGGGGGAAAATAGTGAAAATCTGTAAAGACTGTGAGACTTTTAAAGTTTATAACATTTTATATTGTAATATTAATATGAGATCTTGGAGACAGGAAAGGAAAGGTTATGCTTAATAAGTGTCTTGGGGTTTCTGTTGCTGCAATGAAGCACGATGACCGAAAAGCAAGTTGGGGAGGGAAGGATTTATTTGGCTTACACTTCCATATTGCTCTTCATCATTAAAAGAAGTCAGGACAGGCACTCAAATAGGGAAGGCACCTGGAGGCAGGATCTGATGTAGAGGCCATGGAGGGTGCTGCCTACTGGCTAGCTTCCTATGGCTTGCTCAGCCTGCTTTCTTATAGAACCCAGGATCAGCAACTCAGGGGCAACATCACCCACAGTGGGCTGGCCCCTCCCCCATCAGTCACTAATTAAGAAAATGCCCTACAGACTGGATCTTATAGAAGCATTTTCTCAGTTGATGTTGCCTCTCTTTCGGGTAACTCTAGCTTCTGTGTTAACTTGACATTAGACTAGCCAGCAAAATAAGTATTGTGTTTGTGTGTCAAGTTGACTAAGGGTAAATTGCGTCAGATGACTTTTCAATCAACTTGACACAAACTAGAGTATAGAGAAGGGAACCTCAATTGAGAAAATGCCTCCATAAGATTGGGCTGTTATCAAGCCTATTAGGCATTTCCTTAATTAGTGATTGATGGAGAGAGCCCAGCCCATTATGGGTGGTGCCACCCTGGGTGGTGGTCCCGGGTTCTATAAGCAAACAGTCTGAGCAAGCTATGAAGAGCAAGCCAGTAAACAGAACTCCTCCATGACCTCCGCACCAGCTCCTGCCTCCAGGTTCCTGCCTCCAGGTTCCTCAGCTCCTGTCCTAACTTTAGATGAACAGTGATGTGGAAACATAGGCTACATCAACCCTTTGCTCCATTATGTGATTTTTGGTCATGGTGCTTCACACATGTTACCACAATAGTAGCTCTGAATATGAGAGAATGACTAAAGTATCTATATCTCATCTACCTGTATTTTATGGTTTTATTTTTTCTGTTTTCTTTTTGTTTTTGTTTGAGACAGGGTTTCACTGTAACACTTTGGCCAACTTGGTCCTTATTCATCTTTTTAGCACACTTAAGAATTAGCATTATATCTAACATGTAATGGGAGCTTAATACATTTTATTAAATAGCTTGACTAATGACTTGGAAGGTGGATGAATAATCAAGGATGCTAGAATATCTTCTTGTTCTTATTAAAAGGCTTTATTTTAGTTTTTATTATGAACATCTATATTTGGCTATATGTATGGGAGTTCAGGTGTTTGAAGAACCCTGAAGACAATGTCTGATCCCTTGGAGCTGGAATTACAGGTGGTTAAGAGCCATCAGACATGGGTGCTGGAAATCAAATTTTGGTCCTCTGAAAGAGTAAATGCATGCTCTTAGCAGCTGAAACATCTCTCCAACCCCAATAATAGTTTTATTTTTTAATTTGTACACTAACACCTATGCGTAAATAGAAGAAAGAAGTGCCACAAAAGTAAAAAAAAAAAAAATACGGGATTCATGATTGGCTGTTTGTCAATCGATAGATTCTGTGGAGTAGACAGTCATTGCCTTGAGTTGTATACCAAATG